AGGTAGATGGTAATGGTGCTGAAAAACTAGTTGAAGCCATTTTCCTTCCTGTCAATTTTTGCTGATTGTTTCTTTGTGAGCTTCTTCTTCTTCCCTTCTTTTTAGAGTTCCTTTCTAAGATCAATTTAGCTCTGATACCATGATGGAATTTATGAATCAAAGAGTGAAACTTACTAGATTTGATATAAACTAACCAATTTTAACACTTCTCACTGTTTAATACAACTCATCGGATATGCACTTAACTTACCGCATATACAATTGGGTTTCTGTATATGCAAAGCACTTACCGGATTTACCAAAGGAAATTTTTTTTAATTGTAAAACAGATTGCATACCGAATTTACACTTAAGCTACCGTATTTGCACTCTTCTCATCGTATATGTTTTATTGCTCATCGGGATTGCTACTGTCATGTTCAAGATACAAAATATCTAGCCTGCTAAAACAAAAATCTAAAAGTAAGAATGTCAACTATATTCAACAAACTACCCTGGAAGAATCAAAACTTATTCTTTCCTTTTAATATAAAAAAAATTAATTATTCTAACTTTGCTGTCGAAATAGATAACTTATTAATTCTCATTTTCTATCAATTAAAAATTTAATTTTGTAAAGCTTACTTGTTTACGTTAAGTAAACTTTTTAAGCTTAACCAAACATGATAAAATAAATTTGGAGCAAACATTTTACCATTTTACTGGAATTTCATAGAGCCGTTGTTCATCAGTTCATAGACGAGATAGAAACCCTCGCCATGAATACAGTACCCCAAAAGCGAAACAATGTACTTATGCTAATCTTATTCAACCATTCGATCTCATTCTGCAAAATTAATTGAAACGAAGCCGTAGCGAAAGCCTACAAAAGATTAACCAAATTCTGAAAGATAGAATCAAACATGAGAAAATTTACCTCGAATTCTCTTTCGACTACCTGTCCACCAGTAAATAGTTTTTTAAGGGCTGCATGAATGTCATTGTCAAAGTGGGCTTTATAAACGTGCACTAATCCACTTTCATAGAGAATGTTACCTTCATGGAAATTATTTGTAGCAGCTGCTAACAATTGATACTCGATATCACCAATTGAACCCTTGTTGATTCCAATTCTCAGAGAAGTGAATTTATCCAAAATTGGATCTAATGATATCCCTTTTGTAGTATGCCTATTCAAATAAGTTATTGTCAACAGAACATTACAAAAAGTACAATCAAGATTGAAAGTACGTAGTTCGACCTTAACAACACCTAGGGGTGAATTGGCGATAACGCGGAATTAAAATTTATAATTAATAGCAACAAGTCACTAATTAATTATCTCTAGATAATTAAGCATGCAATCCGATTATCCTAAGTTTGAATACCACAATCAATAATTAAAGTAATAAAGAACACCAAAGATGATCGCAGAGAAATCCGACTGGGTGAAAACTCCGGGAACTTTGCCAGTCAACAATCCACTATAAACGATTTTTAAGTTACAGTCTACCAGACTAGACGACGAAATGTACTATCTGATCTCCTGACTATAATTCCAATAGCTCTCCTGGATTCTGTGCTCCCGCACCAACTCCAGCTGCAGTTTACAAAGCTCCAGGATTGCGCTCTCCTGCAGCAATTCCTAACTTTGTGAAATCGTTTATCTCCTGTAGATTCAAGAAAAACATTGCATTCTTCAACGACTGGAACTCCAGTCACCTTCCCTTGATCTTCAGAAACTCTGATAGATATAAAGGAAACAGCAGTTTTGTATTTGGATTATGAATCTGATATTTTCACCGCCAAAAGCAAAATCAAGATGAAATTTGAAAGTAATTATATGAAGGTGATCTCAAAAGAATGTGTTTCTCTCAATGTTCAACCTCACAATTCACGTTTGACTATTTATATATAGGTTAGGGAATGAATAGGCCAGATAAAAAGACTTTAAAAATGAAATAAAAATTTATCGGATAACACTGTCACTTAAGGGCTAGCTACAATAGAGTGAAGGTTGTCGCTCGAGCGAAGGTGAGGCGACAATCGAGCGATGAAGTTTTTGTTTTTGATGCTCGAGCTAAGCCTGGCGACAGTCTAGCGAAGGTAAGGTGATAGTCAAGCGATGAAGTTAGAAAAGGTAAGAGCTTGAGATCACCTAAAATATCACAATTTATACTAATTGTACACTACTTCTTGACTTTTTACAACATATCAATTATAGTCCTTTTTTTCCACAGAACAACAAATTACATTAAATACCTAACAAAGATCAATAGTCCAACCTAGAAAAAAAAATTCATTTTAGGCTTATTAATCCTGTATCAACTTACTAGTAGATACCTACCCCCAAGACCTACTTAAAATGAAAGACAAGACGGGAAGGGAAGGGAAGGGAAGGAAAATCAAGTTCAGTTGAAAAATAGTACCTGGACTCTGATTGTTTTTTCTTTAACCTTTTCAGACTGTGTATCAAAAAGCACGCCAAGAACAAAAAAATTACCCCAAGAAGAGTCAAAGCTAAATTAGTGTAATCCGAATTTTCTTGTTCAAGTCCTGGTGATGCACTACGTTTACCCCTGAAACTTATACACCATAGGAAGAAACACACAAAATTCCCTCAAGTTCATCAATTATATATCCTATTTTTTAGGCCTCATCTGGCTTTGCATTCTTGACTTAATGCACATTTAGCCATAGAAAAGCCACCCAGCTTCCTTATAAAGAGAAATATAATGCAAAATGTACATAAAGAGATTAAAGTACAGAGAATCATATTCCCTATTAATTATCGTTAGCGCTATTCGTACCTGCCAGTTTACACGATGCTTGACATGGTGACGTGTCAAATGCCTGATTATTCCCAAAAAAAAAAAGCAAAACAACAAACATGGGTCAAACTTGAACCGACTAATTCCCAAATTAGAAAAAACCATTGGTGGCGCAAAACTCATTTAAACTCCGGAACTCCTCCATCTCTTAACCGCAATAAGAAGTTGGTGGTTAATGTAGCAACCGCCTCCATGTTTGGGTTTCCCACCATAGGTTAATTGCAAGGTTGGTAATTTTTTTTAAGCCGTAAGACCGAAGCTCCACCGTGTGCAGCAACATCTTCAATCTCCGACACCATCCATCGACTCCGGCAGAATTTCGCAGCAAACATCATGTAAGCATGATGTATTTGTTAACCATTTTACTCAATTTTGATTTATTCGAATAATACATATTTTGAAGATTTTACAGTGCTCTGTGGATGTGTTGTAATATAGCATCATATCTGGTTTGTTCGTGCGTAGTATGCCAGGAAAGAACTCTAGACTTTGTCGTAGCTGCTGAGAGAAGGGTCACTTGTTTGCTGACTGATCGAAAAAATGGCGATGCCCCTGGTGTAAAATTGGCATTGTGAAGTGCTTTGAGGTCGAGAAGGACATGAAGAACAAGGGTCGAATGTTCAAGTATTGCAGTGCTAATTGTAAATATTGGGAATGGTTCGACAAAGGAGAATCCAATGGCGGATCGAGTAGCATTATCGTGAACTCAAATGATCATGTGCTAGTCAAAGAAGTTCAACAGTTCTCTTGCTTGTTCGAATCCTTTTGTCGGATAGCCGAAGAAAAAAATATTGAGATTTCGTTGAACGTGACAATACGCAAGGCCAATAGAAGTGTGGAAGTTGATAAGAAAGGGAAGGGACCTGCATGAGTAGTAGTTATGTTGTTGGCTATGTGGTTCCCTACCACTTTTGATGTGTAGATGTGTTCTGTTGTGTAGTTGGTGAAGTAAAGAAGGTTAGTGTAATATATGCTTGGAAAGAATCTATAATTTTCATTCACTACTTCTATCTCAGAAATGTTAATGTCATTGAAAACATCTTATTGTTTCCAGTTCACCGATTTCCCTGTACCGATGCTAAGTAACTGAATACGCCAATGCTAATTGAATAAGCCAATAAGATATGCATAATTTCATAAACTATATTAATATATAGAAAGGAAAGTGTTATCACATATACAACTTCATCCTGAGTTCACAAAAATTCACAAAATTGATACTGTTGCAAATGACCAGAGAACATCATTTGAATGAAGCATACAAATCTTCATCTGGGTCTTCACATTTGACACTCGCATTTCCCACTGTCAAATGATTCTCTATTATTACCATGAGAATATAACTGCATCAATGTTGTTCATCCAAAATCACATATTTCCACCACGTTGGTGAGGTGCATTTGGATAATGGTACGACATTGCATTTCCTACTGCCAAATAATAAATTTATTATGTAAACTAGAGTATGATTTGAAATAAATTCATTATGTTTAACCAAATACCTTGACCATTGAATAATGAAGCAGATGGGAAGAAATTCAGAGACATTCCTTGTTGTGTAAATACATGACACCATACACAAATTTCATGATGTAACTAA